AGTGCCCGGCAGTGGGCCAGGGGCTGCTCGGCCCCCACCCACGCTGTGGGCGAGCACTCCGGGAGTCTGCCCCTGCTCAGTGCCCTTGGTTCCCCACAGGTTGGCTCCTACAGGGACATCTCGCATGAGATTCTGTCGCTGTTCCGGCTGCCGGGGGCCCTTGCGCGGCCGGGGTCCTATGCTGTCACAGCCTGCCCGAGCTGGCTCCTGAGCTGTGCAGGGGCCCGGTTGCCCCTCAGGGCCAGCACAGCTCTGCCCCAGCCCACCCCGCAGTGCCCTGCTGGGCTTCTGGGAGAAGGAGCTGCTCTCTGGCATTCTTCTGCTCTGCAGCAGCAGCAGGAGAGGTGCAGCGGGGCAGGAGGGGTGCAGCAAGCCAGACTTCTCCCTCATTTGGGCTCCTATAGGGGCGGCTCTGGGGGAGCTGTTGGTCCCAGCAGGGAGGGCAGGCCGGGGCCGAGGCAGCCCAAGTGCAGCCCGGCCCACCCGTGCCTGCAGTCATGTTCTGGTTGCAGAGATCCTGGTGCTGGGCACAGGAGATAGGGTGGAGCGGCTCCACCCTGCCATGCTGAAGCAGATGCGGGAGTGCGGGATCGCTGTGGAGGTGCAGGACACGGTGAGGAGGGGTGTGCACAGGCAGCAGCCCAGTGAAGGGGAGGGCGGTGGCCACTGGGAGTCCCCCCTGGGGCTCTGCCTGCCCCAGAACAGGCAGGAGGGAGGGGGTTGTGTGGCCCATGGGGAAGGGCTGCATCTCCTGCCTGAGGCCTGGGGCTTCTCTCCCTCCCTTTTCTGTTTCACAGCCAAATGCGTGCGCAACCTTCAACTTCCTGACAAGTGAGAAGCGCAGGGCAGCTGCTGGGCTCATCCCACCGCGGGGCACCTACGTGGGGATGTAGGTGTTGCCTGCCATGGGCTGAGCAGCTCTTCCGCTTTCCTGCCTGGAGTCCCCAGCTGTCACTCTCCAGGCAGAGAAACACTTTGGACTGAACTGTCGGAGCCCGGCTGCGGCTGGGTGGTGGCTCTGCACACAGGAGGGTGTTGTGAACTGTGTGGGCTTGGCTTTGCCCCAAAGTCCCTGGCTTCTCGGCTGCTTTGCCCAGTGCTGGGCTGCGGGGCATGGTACGAGGCCCGAGCGCTGCCAGCAGCACTGCACCTGCAGCGTTGCTGCTCTGCCTTGGCAGCAGGAAGCCGTCACCCCTCAGCATGTTTGGGGCTGCAGAAGGGAAATATATGTAAATTGGAAGCACAAGGCAATTGCGTGTTGGTTAACGCACAGCAGAGCAAGGCTGTAACGCACCATGGGGCTGCGGGTGCTCACTGCCCTTGCAGAGCTGCCCAGGCTGGGCGGGGCTGTGGGTCTGTCACCACAGCTCCCTGGGCACAGCCACCACCAGCAACTGGTGCGTCCCAGCTGGCGCTGGCCTGCCCGGGCTCTCCTGCGGAGTTGTGTACCTCCCACAGTGCCCATGTCCCTTGTGAAGCCTCCAGCTGCAGTCGGCCCTGGCTCAGTGATAGGTGCTGCACCTCATCTCCCCACAGGCTCACAACTGAAACGGGACACGGAGAGGGTTGCTGTCGTGTCCCCCTCATCTTGCCCTGGCTCATGGCTGTGGATGCCACCCCCTGGGATGGGGTAGGGGAGTACATGTACCTCATCGCAGCCTCGTGCTCCAAACCCTACCAGCTCCATGGGCCCAAGGAGGGGTATGTGGCTGCGGTCCCCAGCCTTCGGGCAGACCGTGGGCCAGCTTTGCTTAATGAGCCAGCTGCATTAATGAATGTTTGACACTGACACCATGATGTAGTTCAAGGCTCTGGCTTTAGCATGTGTAAATCTAACTTGACATTGCCATGCTGCAGAGCAATTTTTTTCTGTCAACAACATTAGAGACACAGAACACTGACGGTAAACAGGAGTGACATTTGCACATGCTGGGGCAGCTGGTACACATGTAAAACACCTTTGGCACCTGGTGTTGCAAGCACAGGTAACCCAGCCACGCAGGGGACAATTGCACAGGTCAGGCGTGCAGAAACGCAAACCCTGGCTCCTTTAGCAGCCCCTGAGCTCTTTTGTGCCCTTCCAAGTTCACTGTCCACAGCCCTCCTGGCAAACGAATGGTACACAAAGCCTCTGCAAGTGATCTGTACCACCCACACCCACCAGCCCCAGGGGGTGCAGCTGCAGGGACAAGCATCTGGGGGTTGTGGGGTCAGTATGGGACATTTAGGGGTAGAAACAAAGGGAAGGAGAAAAGGTGGATTGGTGAGGGCCAAGCATGGGAAGGTACAGGTACAAGGGCCTGCTGTGTGTAAGCAGCTGCAGCATGGAACATTTCCAGGGGCATGGGGGGGTGCCTCTGCGGGACTGTGCACACACCTACATGCTTAGCCTTGCAGCAGCTGAAGCAGGCCCAGGGGCAGCCGGGCTGCTGCTGGGTTGGACAGCACCTGGCAGTAGCTAACAACCCTGTAAAATCCATTTGCTTTCTTGCCCAGCAGCCACTTATTTTCTGCTCTCAGAAAGGTTTTTATTAAACGCCTAGTCGGCCCTGTCAAGGGGCTGTCCCCTCCCCGTTGCCCCTCACACACAGGGTCGCTCCTGGGGGCATCAGCTGCTCCAGAGTGGGTGCAGGAAGCGAACAAGAGCGCCAGGGGAGGAGAACAAGGGCAGTACAAGGAAGAGGGGCTCGGGGCTGACACCAGTTGCACATCTTTTCCTCTTTTATTGTAAAACACGACCAATGCGTGCAAGGCTCCAGGTGCCAGCCAGGATCACTGCGCCTGGGTGGTAGGTAGGCCCTCTTGGGTGGGGATGAAGCAGCCAAGGGACAGAGGGAGCTCCAGGCAGCCCACAGCGTAATGGCACTTCTGCAGCAAGAGCAGCTCCCGCGCGGGGTGGCACAGGGCTGAGTGGCACGATGACGGAAACAGACAGACCTCCTTCAGAAGAGGCGCTTCTCATACCTGTGAGGGGAGCAACAAGCCAAGAGCCCTTTTACTGACCTGCCTGACCACAGCAAGGATCAAAGGCGCAGTTAGGAATGGCTCCTGGCCTGCTGGCCCACAATGAGGAAAAGAGCCCCAGCACACTGGCAGCGAGTGGCTCATCTGCTCATGCCCTGCTGTGAGAGGAGCATTGGCCCGGGCCAGCTGACAGGCTGCGGCTCAGCCCAGCCACACAGCGGGTGATGCCAGCACCGTGGTGGCTTGCCAGCTGAGGCACAGGATGGCCACACTTAACTGCCACATCTCCGCCCCCAAGAAACAGGAGTCCTGCCAGCAGCACTTACGAGTGGAGGCCATGCACCCCTCCTTCCACCTGGGCAGATGTCGTCCTCTTCTCAAACTTCAGTTCTCCAGAGTACATCATGGCTCTGAGGGGGAAGAAGGATGCCTGTCACATGCCAGACAGAGTCCAGGGAAGACAGCACTCTGGCACATGTTCAGCTGGAGCAGGTGGGGCAAGGGACGGTGGTTTCTCCAGATACAGTCAGAATGGTCTTTGCTGTGCTGCTAAGAGCCAGGAGCCAGGCAGAGTAAGGTAACCCCAACATTTCAAACCCAGCCAGCTGAATATGCCACAAGAGACCATGCTCCTGCATCCCTGGGGCTAGCATGAGGGAAGAGGGCTACAGAGAGGTCAGACCACACAGAACATGCTACAGCTTGGCTACAGCCTGCCCAGGGACCCCAAATGGCAGCACTGAGACCGAACCAGAGCACAAGCAAGGGGAAACACTCACCGGACTTGGGTCAGGCTCTTGGCACCAATATCTTCCCAGCAATCAGGTACGGAATGAACTTGTGGATAGAGCCCTTGTCCTGCACTGCACCGGAGACCCCCTGGGCCACTTTGATTTTATCTGTCTCACTGCATGGGAGCACAAATCAAGGAAGTTTGTGAAGCAGAGAAGCCCCAAAAGCTTGACCTGCTACCCCAAAGCACCATCCCTTACCTGAAATACCGGTTCTGGCTGCCCAAGTTTTTGTCCATGGCATCTAGTGAGCCCATGCCACGGTATTTCTTCAGCCTAATTCCATCCGAGAAGAAGTACTCGCCTGGGGCCTCTGTGGTGGCAGCCAGGAGAGAGCCCATCATCACTAGCACAGGAGATCACCAAGAACAGCACGTCAGCAGCAGGAAGGCTGTGGCTGCAAAGCCCTCAGGGTCCCCAGGCACAGCACTGTGCTGGAGCCCCCATACTCCCAACCACCTGCAGGTATACTCCCTTGTGCCCAGAATCGATGCCATACGGAAACCCTTCCCAGGAGACTCCCTACAACGCACACAACCCACCCACCCGATGTGCTGCTCACCTGTGGAGGCCCCCAGTGCGAGGGCCTTTGCAATGTGCCCAACCGTCTGGATCCCTCCGTCTGCAATCACGGGGACGCCAAATCTCCTGGCGTATTCGGACACCTTGTATACTGCCGTGGCCTGGGGGCGGCCGCACGCCAGCACTACAGGTGGGGAGAGAGCAGAGAAAGGGTCAGCTCCCATGCAGCAGCACATTCCCTCCCCAGCAGGCCCTTTAGGCTTCCAGCACACACATGCTCCAGCACTCAGGAACACACAAATCCCTGGATGCTCCTTCCCTAGGACGAGTTGCAAGGGAAGCGGATGCCCGGGAAATGGCTGCTAGGACATCCTCACATCCCTCGACTCCAAAAAGCTGTGTGTGACCCTGGGACTGGGGTCTTTGACCAAATGCCTGGGATCAGCCGAGACTCACGGCTTGTCCTGGTGCACAATAGACGTGTGGGAGCTTGGGAAGAAAGCGGAGCAGATTCCAAAAGCCTCTCTCCACAGCATCCCCAGCACGTAGCCATGCCCACCACTCGCCCCCTCCTAGCAGCACCAGACCCCTTCTCTATATATCCAGCAGCTGTATGATGTGCTTCTCGCATGGAAAGGCAGCTGGCTGGGATAGAGCTGGTATGTGTGTGTATATATATATGTATAGATATACTTTTATGTATATGTGTATCTATACATATGCATCTGCACACACACACAAACACACTTGCAGCAGTGGAAAAGGAAACAGGCAGGATGACTTGATGGCTTACAAGAAATAATTTATGTTCCTGCCCTGCAATGTAGCAATGGTTCTGTCAAGTTTAGCTGCCCCATGGGAAGGGAGTTATTAGCTTTGGATTTACCTGCTCTTCCCAGTCGCTAGCAGTTAGAGGCTTCCCGTTGTGTGAGGGGAAAACCAGCACAGGGCACATCTTGTAACACATTTGTCAGCCACAGGCATGCAAGTACGCCGAGATAAGCTTCTCTCAGGAAGACTTCCTGCAATTAACTGGAAGCCTTTTCTTCAGTCACAGTTAGTCCGATACACCAGGTAAGATTATGGCCATGCAGGATTAGTACTTCGGAGCATGAAGTCGAGGTGTGGTTTAGCCTGCCTGGCAGCAGCACTGGCAGCACACATCCCTGGCAGACGTTTGCCGAGGCTGGGAGTCTGCAGTTGCTCCGCTCCAGTGCTCAGCAGGAGCTGCTGAGAGAGGGAAGCCAGACTCCAGGCTGAGATCGTGAAAGAACTGATTTTAATCAAACAAAACTCAGCGTTAAGGTAGGGCTTAGCCAGCCAGGGAGAGTCTGCCAGCTACAACATGAACGCCATTAGTCTTAAAGAGGTGGTCTTGCTCGGTACCGCACTGCTAAAGGCCGCATTATGGCTGCAAAACACTGCAAGGAAGAGCTCTATGGAGAGAAGCACCTGATTTTGGAAGGTCTAGAGCCCGGTGTCTACGGGATTGTGTGTAGACAGTGCAGAGCCTGCAGAAACCTCACAACAGTGACCACAGAGACCAGCCCTTTAAGGAACAGCTTGGCTCAGGGCCCCTGGGAGAGTCGTTCCAACTGTCCCAGTGTCCAGCGCCACAGCTTCAGAGCAGAGGCTTCCAAAGCAGGGTTCAGAGCACACGCACGCTGAGTGGTCAGGGTGAGGGTTTGTCTTTTTTAGTATATCGGCAAAGTGTGGCCCTACAAGATCATTTGCTAGAGAAAACCTTCCAGGATCTTTTTTGTCAAAACTAGGAGAAGGGGCAAAACCCAAGTCTCACCTTGGGTGGCTGCTTGATCCGGCAGCATCAGAGAAGTACAGAGCAGACAAAGCTGCACCCTGTGCTGGCCAGGGGAAGAGCCCTTTCTCTCCACACGAGGATCAGGCATCAGAGGGGAAAGACATGGTTCTGGTACGGCAGCTGCCAAGGTGGCCATATGCAGTCAAGTCCTCTGTAGCCCCAGGGGAGCTAGCTCCAAGTGACGCTTAGCCAGCGCACAACTTCCCCACCACTGGGGCCAGATTTAGAGCAGGATCAAGGACTGCTCAGGGATCACCTCCCAGCATTGGATCAGCAGGGTCTGCCCAGCTAGAGATCCAGAAGACGTAGCCAGAAAGCTCAGACAGGCTCCTGAACTGGATTTTGGAGTGGAGGGTGGACTAGCCTGAGTGCCCTCAGCTTTGACAATTCAGACCCTGCTTTAGGAATTCAGAAAGACTTCTCAGCTTCCATTTCAGATTCAAAACCAGTATCCAAAGCCACAAAACCCCAAGTGCATCTACAGCTAAATTATTCTCAAACAAGCAGTAGGGCCATGTGCAGCCAAATCAGGGTCCTGCTTCAAGACACGTAATTAGGGTTGGGAACAGGGCAAGTGACTTACTATAGGTGCCCGTGACAGTAGAAGGGCATTTGGGGCTGTGGGACTTTAGGTCTGGAGGGATCTTTGGAGCAGCTAAACAAAAACAAACACACACATTTTAGAGACAGAAGAACAGCAGCAGAACAAAGGACCCCAGCAGTGACCTGCTACTAGGCAGAGCATACGGTGTGGGACAGAGCTGACCTTGCAAAACCTTCCTAGCCCAATCCAAGCCAGAGGCCAGATCCAAGCCAGCCAGGCCCAGCTGTGCACAGCGCATGCTGTCCTACGCCAGCAGCCATCCAGAGAGAAGACCCCCCCAACCCAAAGAAACAGAGTTCTTGCCTTAAAAGGGCCAAAAACCTGCAGAGCTGCAGTTAAAAGTTTTGCAACCACATCTCCTGTGAAGCGTCACAATCTGCCTCTGCTCTGTTCCTTCCCCAAAACTAGCACCCAACCCACCTCCCGCGGCAACTGGGAGAAGGACCCTCTGGAGACATTCACCACACTGCAGAATGGAGCATGCCTCAGTGGGTCCTCTGCCTCAGAGCCAGAGTAAGACAGGCACATCCTGGTTCTGCACTGGCTTATGGAAGCATCAGCCCAAGGACACCACAGCCTCCCTAGAAAGGTCACCCAAGACAGACTGCCCTGACTGGGAATCCCCCCGCAGCCAGCATTCCCATGGCAGGCAAAGCAGGAACGCAGCCTATGTCCAGAGCTGCTCAAAGGCTCCACGCTGGAATCGGCAGAGCTAAGGCAGCTATCAGCTACCACCTTGCTGCCTCCCGTGGCAAGGACCAAAGCAGAGACAGGCTGTGTTCATGGGCTGCAGTGCACCACCTCTCTGCATCTCACCTGCCAGTTTCAAAACACGAGGACTGAGCCTGTCCTCAAGGCAGCCTTTCTCCAGGCCCTGGGGACACCCCATTCCACCTTTTAGCTAAGGGTGACATGACCTCTGCCCCACACAAGCTCCAGCTAACTGCAGAGAAAATGGCCAGAAATCCCATTTTGGCCTGGAAATTGCAGAAAGGCATTGAACCCAGCAGACCAATACTCAAGCATCACGCACACTGCTGCCAGAGGGAAGGGGAGCGCAGACAGCCTGGTGCACTTCACCCGCCAGCACTGGGGACCCAGTAAGCCCCTCTCCCTGCAGAGCTGCCCGCCAGCCCCATCCCACACCAAGCCAGTGGCTCCTCTCGGGCAAAGCCGCGCATGCCACACCTGCTCTACTCAGTCTCAGTCAATACTGGGAAATGCCTTTGCTGCTGCTGCCACCCCAAAGGTTTGACCCAGGTGATGAGAACGTCCTGGATGAAGGGGGTGAGAGATGGCTTGTTGTTGGGACACTGCCCTTACAACAGGAGAAGTCCATCACAGCTATGCTGCTTTTCAGCATGGAATCTCTATTAAACAGATGTCTTCAGCCTATTTAGGAGATGGAGATAGCTGATCTCTCTCACCTTCCTGCGTGATGCAGATGGAGCCACTGCCCATGCCGACTCTCAGGGCATCAACCCCTGCGTCAATGAGGTTCTTGGCCTGAGCAGCAGTCACAACTGTGGGGAGCAGAAACTGGTTTGAAGAGAGACAAACAGATTTGCAGGCGACACTGCTCTGCCCTGGTGCTTCCCCTGTGGCTGCAAACACCCCCTACCCAGGGCACCAGCCCCTGTCAGAGCCAGGCCTGGCTGTCCACTGCTACCGAGCCTGTCTGCAAAAGCAGCAGCGAGTTTCTGTCCCAGCTGCCTCCAGTGGGCGAGGTGACACTGGCCCTTTAGGCTACTCTGCAACACGCTTACACCCAAAGGCTGAGGTAGCAGAGGTCACTGCATGGTGCCAAGGACCCTTTGGGCCACACCAGGTAGGGAGGGCAGAGCACAGGCTAACAGCAGCACCAGTAACAAACCAGCCAGGTAAAGACAAGGACTGCTGAACTCTGCTGTCAAGAGGCAGGAAAAATTTCCAATAGACTTCCACATTAAGCAATATTCATTATTATTACCCAAAATTTTAAACTGGTGTGCAAGAGAAGCTAATGTGTAACAGGCTACAGAAGACTGTGCTGCAGAACAAAGGTTTCAAAATATTTGCAGCTCTGGCAGCAGCAGGGTACTGCCCTGTGTCTGCAGAGTGGTCTTGCTCTGTTCCACCATCTTAAGTTCACAGACATTTACCAAGATGACCGTCTCACTGACGTCCCAGCAGCTCCCTCTATGTCTAAGAAACAAAGGTAATTTAAAGACAAGGACAGTCTTCAACACATGCCTACCATTTCCTCCAATAACTTGTAGGTTGGGATATTTCTCCTTAATATATTTTATCATATTGATCTGGAAGATGGAGTTCCCCTGAGAGGAATCCTGCAACAGAAAGAAAACCAATTTCAACCAGAATTTCTGCAAAAGATTATAAATGGAGCTCCTGAAGAGCCTCAGATCTTTACTCTGTGTACTGGGGTCTCCGCTAAGCAGGCAAAAGAACTCCCCAAATGAAGCACAGAACCAGAGGAGAAGCTGCTGCCAAGACAATAACATACCTTCCCTGTGGAAGGCAGTTTATCATAAAGACTTCAGTAATATCCTTCACGTTTAAATCCTGTGGCTTCTGCAGTAGGCAACAAACAGCACATCTGGCTGCAGGTAAGAACCGTCTGGCTCTACCACCAGGACACCATCAGTCCTGTCTCAAACTACAGGTGAAATGGTAAATGTTCCTTGTGAAACCCAGAAGGGCTGGTGGGGGCATGCATCTCTCCCTGCTGCGCAGCAGGGCACCTGAAATACCAGATGTCGACCACCGAGCACTCCGGCCCTGCCAATCTCCATGATCCGGCCAACTCTTTCTGTTAAACATTTCCAGCTGCAACAGCCATGCCCTCAGAGCATGGTGGACTCACAAGCTAACAATCGATGAGAAAACAATGTGCAAATACAGGCAGTGACGGCTGTGCCCAAAAGCTTACAGGCCAGAAAGGGAGACTAGCAGAGCAGCTCTGAGCTGACACTCCTGAACAACAGGCAGTTAAGAGAGTAACACAGTAACAAACACCACAGAGCTGAAGGGAAACTGTAAATACCAAATATTCAAAACTAGTTGGGAACATCAGAGACGATGGCAGCAGGCTGCAAGAAGCATTTGTAGAAGATTCTGTATTAACTCACAACGTTTCTCTTCTCAGCCTTCAGGGCTTCGATGCACCCTACCTACTCCCTCGAGGTCAAATAAGTTCCCAAGCAAGAGGAATCCCTCGAGGACTCCAACCTGAACAAAACTGAGAGGTCAACAAACTGCCATATTCTAACACAAAGGGGCCTGTAACAATGACAGTAAGTGCCATGCTGCTGCCCCACTGTCAGAGAGATTCACTCAATCTGCATCCTCAGCCCGCCCAAACCCCCCAGGCCAATGTGACGCCTGCGGGTGGCTCACCAGCACTACTGCATCCACGCCAGCCTGCACCAGGAGGTCCAGCCGATACTTGTCATCTTCGTGGGTCCCAATAGCAGCACCACAGAGCAGCTGCTTCTTGGAATCCTTAGAAGCCAGAGGGTAGTCCCGGTTCTTCTTGAGATCAGTGCGTGCAATTATAGCCACCAGCTCGTCATCTTCATTAACAATTGGCAGCTTGCCTTGAAACAAACAGAAGGAACATCACTGCAGATTTCTGCAGGAGAGGGACATTAGTCTGGAGCCATGCGGCAGACCAGGAGCATTGGGCAGGCAGCAACTGGTACAAGGTGGAGACTCAGAGAAGTGTGTTATCAAATCTTGCTTGGCCATGGACGCCAGTAGCCCTGGCTCGTGAAACAGAGCAAGGACTTTGCAGGACTAGAGGAGGACTCTGTATTTTCACATTTACCATAGAAAAAGTGCATCTTTTTTAATAATTAGACCCGTGACACTGTGCTAAAAGGCAAACTACCAAACCCTAACACAGCTGAACTGAGTGCCAAAATGTGAAGGCCAGGACAGAACACTGAAGACGTGTGACCGGACAGCCAGGCGCTCTTCAGCTGCTGGGCTGCCAAGAATCCCTCAACTTCAAACAGATTTGAGATGAACACATGTGAACTCTGTACCCTGGCAGAGGGCTGTGGGCACTCTCTCTTCACTGTCCTCTCCTTGTGCTGGAACGCAGCCCTCCCATGTTCCACCCACACACGGACGTGTGCCCACATTCACCCACTACTGCTCCCAGCCCAGCGCTTCCATGGCTCTCCCTCACGTCGCAGACATTCACAGGTACCTTTTTTACTCCTTTGCAGAATCTCATTCGCTTCTTTCAGCATTACACCAGCCGGGGCCACAACAAGATCCTCCCGCTTTGTCATAATCTAGTAGGGGAGAGAGAGAGAGAGAGAGAGAAAAAAAAAAAAAATCACAAGAACTCCCTCGCACTGATCTGAAAATA